TTAGTCGCCCCGGCTTTATAGATAATATTCAGCTAACTTGTTATACTATTATATGCAATAAAACTGTCCCTCTAGAGCAATTGGTTAATTGCCCCGGCTTTATGGATAAGTTTCAACTAGCCTGATAAAGGTGATTATATTATTATATACAATAAATTTAAATTCAGCTAGCCAAAATGGCAAAAGGTTACTACATAAAGATGGACAAAGGGGGTTAAGGAACACCTGTTATAGTTAACCTCACACGAGCACTCAGAAATTTCATTTTTAGACCGATATTTTCGCACTACTTTTGCTAGAGTTTACAAAGCTTACACAAATAAAAAATTTCAGAGAATTGAAATAGAAGTATCTAGTAATTGGTTATACAAGTTGCGTCATTTTGTACGCATCTGGTTAAAATACCAAGTTCTTAAAGTGAGTCATGTGACAAAGTTCACAAAGAGCGAGAAGGAGTTCATAAGAACTCGTCTGAAGAGAAAGAAGGAGTTCATAGTCTGAAGAACTCGTCTGAAGATGAAGAAGGAGTTCATAGTCTAAAGAGGAAGAATGAGTTCATAGTCTGAAGAACTCATATGAAGAGGAAGAATGAGTTCATAATCTGAAGAACTCATCTGAAGAAGAAGAAGAAGTTCATAGTCTGAAGAACTTATTCAACCTTTTGCTTGACTTTATCGCAGAAAGAGATAAAACATCATCAACATTTCCAAACATGAGTTCATAATCTGAAGAACTCATCTGAAGAGGAAGAAAAAATTCATAATCTGAAGAACTTGTTCAACCTTAGCTCGACTCATCACAGAGGGAAATAGATCAACATCAACATTGTTCAACCTTTTGCCAAATCCATCACAGAATGAGATAGATCATCATTCCTAGCGGAAAAGTTCATAATAAGAAGAACTCGTCCGAAGTGAGCAAAAAATTCATAATGAGAAGAACTTATAGCTTAGAAGTTTGAACATTTCAAGCTAAAAATAGTGTTTTATGTCTTTGCTCCATTCTTGTTCCACAACAACGAGCAAAGAGGGGCATATGTCATCACAATTTTTACATTCATATCGGTAGCTCCACGTTTCAGCTTCAGCAGCTTCCAACAACGACAACTTCACCAACTGTCCCTTCTGGTTCTCTGCTCCACACAATAGCTGCCAACATCCCAGCTCCCCTAGCTGTCCCTCCACGTCTCGATTACATTTCACAAGCAAAACAAACAACAATAATCATTTTTGTTTTAATCATGTAAATGAGTTAATATATAACCCATAAAACTCATTGTAATAGACCAGAGCCTTTCAAATAAAAAAAACAGCAGATACAAAACAGAGGATTGGAAATAAAAACACAGCAAAGGTTATTTTCTATTTGGTTTTTCGTTTATTTTTCAGCTTTATATATATATTCGAAATCAAACAGCAAATATAAGGGAAAAATAAAGGATTTTTACCTTGGGGCTTCGGGTATCACGTCACCTTAGAAGTCAGGTATAGCGTCGGGAGGTGAGCTTCCATAGTGGCCGAGCTTTTTAAGGGCATCGATCACATAAAAGGAAGAGAGTAAGAGATGAAAAGGGAGATAAACCTTGGGTTTAGGCTCGTTTAAGAAGTGTTTCAGGCTTCCTCGGTTGAAGGAGTCGTCGGTTGGAGTAGGAGCGGCCACCATGGAGGTGGCCGACGTTGAAAAGGCTTTAAGCCTTTGTGAGTTTCGACCACCATTGTGTAGAGTGGAGAAGAGATGAACGGGGAAGGGAAGGGAAGGAAGGTTTAGATTATTTAGATTTTAATTTTAGGGTTTTTTAGTTATATTTTTATTTTTTTTTGGTTTTGGGTAAATTATCTATAGGACCTCTTGTTTTATCCGCATTTTTACATTTCAGCCACTGTTTTTATGGTTAAATCACGTTTAAATCCTCATATGTTTGTTGTGTTTCGCGTTTTGGTCGCTGAAGGATTTAGTTTATTTTTGGGATAAATCACGCTAAAGTCTCTATACTTTTAGCGTGTTTTTATATTTAAATCACTAATTAGTGGGTTAATCAGCCATAAGCCATTCTAGTTTATGCATTTTTTTTATTTTTGTCACCGATATTCTTTCTTTATTTTATTTCGATTTTGGCATGTTAATTTCCATTTTATTTTATTTTAGTCATTAATTAATTTTGTTATTATTTTATTTATGAATATGATGCTATAGTTTTAATTTTATTTGTTTTGATCGTTATTCAATTGTAATTTATTTTTATTATTACCTTTTTATGTTCAATATAATTAATTTAATAATTATTTTATTTTTTTATTAGTCATAAATATATATATTAAATAACAATATTTATTTATTTTTTAATATTCAGAAAGGGGTTGTCTTAAAACAACTAGATGTCATTTTCTGATATTTTTAAATAAATAAATATCATTCTTATAAAAATATATATATTTTTACTTTAGTTTTATTTACATTATTTTAGGAAATATTATCATATTATTATTAGTATTTATTTATTTTTTAATATTAAAGAAAGGAGTTGTCTTAAAGTAACTAGATATCCTTTTATGATATTTTTAAATAAATAAATATCCTATTTATAAAACTCTAAGTATATATATATATATATATATATATACTTATTTACTTTAGTTTTATAAAAATTATTTTAATATTTTTTTAGAATTATCCGATTGAATTAGAAATAACAGGATCATAAATTAAATTTATATTTGAATTCTTAAATTCTATTATTAGAGACAATTTATAATCGACAGAGACCAATTTTGGGCGTTGATGGGTGCTAATCCTTCCCCAAATGTAACCGACCACGAATCCATTTTTATTACTAAAAAAGAACGAATTTTTGGTTATACGCAGACCAATTTATCTTTTAAATAGTTTTTTATTAAAAACTCTTTTAAAATATATTTTTTTAGGTATTCGACCTACCTAACCCAAAATGGCGATGGCGACTCCCAAAACATTTCATAAAAACCATTTATTTCATTCACATTACTTTTCCGCCAAGAAAATTTCGTACCCGGGCGAAAACCTGTTACGACACTATTACTGTAGTAACGATTGTTAATAATGAGTGATCGATTTGTTATAAATCGACAATGTTAGTGATCAATTTGTTACTTTTAAAACTTTAGTGCGAAAAACAAAATTCACGCAAACATTAGTGACCATTTGGTCCATGAAGGTAAATGGAAACATTAGTTGGAGCCTTAGGAAGTTGTTCTCTTTAAGAGGCAAGGTCGTTCCTTTTATATGATATGTTGGCTCAGGGGCCTATGAAAACTAAGGAGATTTTTGAATGAAATTTTGGGGTAACAAGGATAAAGTCTCGTGGCATAAACTCATTTGGTTTCCATTACATAATCCTAGATATTTTGTAATTGCTTGGCTAACGATTCTGAACAGGCTGCCAACTAAAGACCGCTTTGTGAAGATAGGTTTCATTACGGAGGATAGGTGTAGTTTTTGTGGTGTACAGATCAATTCGAGGTCGCATCTCTTCTTTGAATGTCGATTCTCGGCAGGGATTTGAGAGGAGATTCTCAGGCTTTGTAACTGTAGGAGACCGGTTGGTCCGTGGGATGTTGAGTGCTCATGGGCTGTAGGTTTCCTCAAAGGGCAGTTAGTTTCCTCAAAGGGCAGTCGCTTCCCACTCTGGTTCTAAAGTTAGCATAGAGTGCTTTTGTCTGTTTCATTTGAGAGGAGAGCAATCGCAGAATTTTCAAAAGAAATGAACAGGAGATTCTAAGCTTGGTAAAGATGCATGTGCAGCTTCAGCTTCATAACATGAGAGTAATTAGGGGTTCGTGAATTCTAATTTGTGTAGTTTACCCCTTTTTTTAACAAATAAGTTTTGAATTGGTTCGATGTTGATATGGAGGGAGTGATTAAGGATATTGTGAAACTGTCGTCTCACTTTTTGGATGATTTTATCATCGAGTTATATCTTCCTTTATCAGGTGTATAAATTTAGAGACATCGTGTTAAACTTTGTGAAATATATTTTATTTCACTATTATATTGGTCGGGATGAAATCATTTCTTATATAACAATTCTATCGTAACACAATACATAATTTTGTTTCTTTTTATTTTATGATTTTTTACAAGCATGTTTTGTAACAATATAGCTATCTTAACTAAAATTTTCACTTGAGATTCAATGATTTTTAAATTTCTCCAAAAAAAAAATGAACGCATTCAAACAAAATGTTTTTCCAATGGATTTATTTCAATTTGATGAGTAATTAAAATTTATTTCAATTTGTTTCTTCCAGGAAAGATGGCTCGTTAGTCCTCTTTCGTACACCGTCGAATGATCTTCATCCAATTCTTCATAAGGATTGGATATTCATGGTCCTCTTTTCTTAAAACACAATTGATATTGTATTTCTTTAGCTTTTGTTTCATTTAAAAAAAATCGTTATACTTAAGTTATAATTTAATCGTAATTTTAAATTTATTTATGATCAGATTTGTGAAATTGTTGGACCAAATAACATAATACAATCCTAAAATCACCTATGATCTAAATATCCTCAAATATGTTAAGATTTCATCTCACAATTAAAAAAAACCTTAAATTAAATTACTCCGAATTCAAAGTGGAAATTCTCTCGATTTTGTTAATTAAACTTCCCAATTAGACTTTCATTGGAAACATTGCATCCTAATGTACAAATTGAACAAATCACCATAAAAATACATTATGCAAAACTCAATTTACATTAATTTAAAATCATCTTAAAAACACAATCCCAAACTCTCATTTTACCTTTAAAACATCAGCCTCAGAGACCACTTTCCTTTCACCCTTCACGATCCGCACCTTTTATCCAAATTCCTGATATCAGCCGTTGATAATATCCTAATCCAACGCTCAAAATTTAAAATTGTCAATTGCGTTATCAATCTCCATCATTTCCCTTTCCACCAATCAGCTTTCTCCAATTTCCCTATAAATTTCACACTCCTAACAACACGTTAACAAAACCAACATAGTTTGGAAAAAAAAACAAAAAGAAATCCAGATTTCATACGGCTCGTAAGATCTTTTAGAAGAATCATGGCCGTCGCTACTGCCTCCGCCGTGTCTCCCGCCGCGAAGAAGAAAACTGCTGGCGCTAAGAAGCCGAAACCCGCTGCGTCTCATCCTCCGTTTCTTATTGTATTGTCTCGCTCCAGAAACCATAAGTAATTATGTTTCTTGATCGGTTTTTAATTCAATTTGTTTATTGAATTTTGCAGATGATATCGGAAGCAATCCTTTCGTTAAAAGAAAGAACTGGATCGAGCCAATATGCGGTTGCAAAGTTCATCGAAGAAAAGTATAAGCCGTTGCCTCCGAATTTCCGAAAGGTTTTGCTTGTTCAGTTAAAGAAGTTTGTTGCTTCGGGAAAGCTCGTCAAGGTCAAAGCCTCCTACAAGCTTCCTCCTGCATCCGCCGTTGTGAAGAAGCCTGCCGCCGCGAAGCCGAAAGATGCTTCCTCTGCCGTCTTGAAATCGAAACCGAAGGCAGTCAAAGCCGCGGCAAAACCGAAACCGAAAAGAAAAGTTGCTGCGCCTGTTAAACCGAAGGCTAAAGTTGCGGCGAAACCTAAGGCTAAAGCTAAGAGTGAAGCTGTTGTGAAGCCAACTATGGCAGCGAAGACGGCCAAAACAAGTACAGCAGCGAATAAAGTAAAATCTCCGGCCAAGAAGAAGATCGTGGTGACAAAGAAGCCGAAGAGTGCGAAATCGGCGGCTAAGAAAGCGGCGAAAAAGGCGAAGAAATGAGTAGGATGTTTAAGAAGTTAGCAGAGTAGTCGTAATTTTGATGGTGAAGTAGGGGTAGTTCTGGAATCGCAGGCTAATATATGTCAATATTATGTTTCTATTATAGATAAAACAGGGTTATGAGTTTTCCTCCCACTTTTCCTTTACTATTGATTACATATATTAGGTTGTAATGTGAACTTTTGATTTGGTAGTTAAATGAAAACTATGTGTTGATCAGAGAAATGATGGTTTGTTTTGAGGTGTGGACAATATTAATGACTCAAAGAATAGAAACGAATTTTAACATTTTATCATAATTCAATTGATGGCTTATTTTGCAAATATTATTAAACGTGGCGTATATGGATGAGTTTTATGGTCTTCACACGTCGTAACATTACCAAATCGAAAAGTTTTTTTGAGTTAATTCTATTAGTGTTATATGCCCAGTTAAAGGTTTTTTGCACATCACGGTTACCGGAGGATCGAGGGACGGGACATGATTTTTAAAAAAGAATCACTTCATCCTCGCTTATTTCTTTACCTCCTCAGGGAGATAATATATTGATACCAATTAATATTTCGGTGACTCTAATAAAAAAAAGGATAAAATATATAAATGGTCACTGAACTTTTTAGATAATTGCATAGCTCTCCTAATTTTTAAAACTTACAATACAGTCACCAAGTACATTCTAAACCCTAAAATCCAAAATGATTCAATTATATTTTAAACTTCAAATTCCAAAATATTTCAATTACATGTCCAACCCTAAATTCACAATCCATTCTCAAAATTTATCATAACAAACTGAACTTGAAACAGCAATCCTAAACCCTCAAAACATAACAGTTTTAAAATTTTAAACAACTATAAGTGAATAATAAGTGATTATGTTGGGATTAGGGTCATGTTGGACCTAAATACTCAATTTAATTTATAAAATAGTTGGCTCGAAATTTTTCAATTTGAATTTATAAAATTTAAATAAAGTCGAATTGAATTGAATTTTCGAGTTTCTTTTTAAATTTAATTATAAATATTTATCATATTATAATATTATTTGATTCTAATTCAGTTATGTTTATAAAATAGTTAACTCGAATTTTTTTATTTGAGTTTATAAAATTTAAATCAAGTCGAATTGAATTGAATTTTTGAGTTTCTGTTTAAATTTAATTATAAATATTTATAATACTATAATATTATTTGATTTTAATTTAAATAGTTTTTTAACCATATACAATACATATATTTCTTCATATTTTTTCCATATGTGATATACATATATCATACAAAGTCAAGGACTTGACTCAAACTTAAAAATTAATCCACTAATTACTAAAAATTTTGAGATATTAGAGTTGTATTTTACAATTCGATTTTAATTTGAATTTTTTTAAGTTGAGTTTATGAAATTACAACTAAAAGTCAATTTATATCAATTTTTTTTAATCAATTCAAGTCGAAAAATACTTTTTTTGAATCAAATTGAGTATTGTTAACTTATAGTTGGTTAAATCTAGTATTGTTAACTTATAGTTGGTTAAATCTAACTTTTAAATCCTAAACCCAATTATTGTTATGGACCCAAAATTAACTAAATGTTGTTGATTATGCTGGGTAAATTGGTGGAGAAATTTAGCATTTAGGGTTATGTTTTGAGGGTTTAGGGTTGCTGTTTCAAGTTCAGTTTGTTATGGTAGATTTTGAGAATGTATTATGAATTTGAAGTTGGTAATGTAATTTAAGTATTTTTGGAATTTGAGGTTTAGAATGTAACTAAAGCATTTTGGAATTTAAGGTTTAGAATATAATTGATGCTTTGTTGCAAGTTTTAAAAGTTGGGGGACCTAAATGCAAGTACCTAAAAAGTTCAGTGACAATTTATATAATTTACCCTAACGGTAGTGAAACGGCCGTTACATCGTGGACCATAATGCAAACGAACTAAGTGTTTGGTGATTGTATTGTAAGTTTTAAAAGTTAAGGGACCTAAATAGAAATATCTAAAAAGTTCAGTGATTATTTATATACTTTACCCTAAAAATAGTACGGTGAGTTTAGATCATCTCCTATTAGAAAACTATCGGTCGAAATGCGCTCTTACACGTTAAATTGTCAAAAAAATTCAAACGAATTCAGTTATACCCGAACGATATCTTCAGATTCGAGCTGCAAAGCTTGCACATACAAGCGAGCATCCATAAAAAAAATGACCCGACGTAATCTATTTGACCAAATCACCCTTCTAACGAGCACAAAATCAAATAGATGCCGCCGATCAGAGCCTTGCTTCCAGAACATGCTCTCTTCGCCTAACCTCGATTAGCGCTTAATACAACTACAACCAAAATAGTGACTCGATCAAAAAACTAACACCACCATCAAACATTATCACCACCACATTAGGGAGAGGCCTCTACAGAGAAGCAATGAATGCGATTATCGTGGATGTATACCTCTCGTAACCGGTTTTCGTCCGGGCACGAAATATTTATTTGGCGGGAAAATTGATGTGAATAAATGGTTTTTGAAAATAATTTGGGAGTCGCCATCGGCCTTTTGGGTCAGGTAGGTCGAATACCTAAAAATTATTTTTTTAAAAGAGTTTTAAGAAAACATCAATTAAAAAATGAACTGATCTACGTCTATAACCAAAAATTCGTTCTTTTTAATAATAAAAAAGGATTCGTGGTCGGTTACGTTTAGGGAAGGATTAACACCCCTACAACGCCCAAAATTGGTACTTTTTAATTATAAATTGTCTCTATTATTAGAAATTTAAAAATTCAAAATATATTTAATTTATAATCCTATTATTTCAAAATTATATAGAATATATTTATTTATTTAAAAATATCAGAAAAGGACTTCTAGGTGCCTTAAGACAGCTCTTTTATTTGATATTAATAAAATTAAATTTAAATAAAATTAAATAATAATTTTTAATAATATTTAATTTTAAAATACCAGAATAGGACATCCAGTTGTATTAAGACTGCACTTTTCTTTAATATTGAAAAATATTAAAATAATTTATTGAAAAAAAATATAAATTATTATTTATTATATATATTTATGACTATATAATAATAATAAAAATATTTAAATAAAACAATAAAAATACAATTAGAACGATATATTTAAAAGCAGTAAAATAAATGAAAACATTTAAAATTAGTGACTAAATTATAGTAAAATTAAAATTAAAAGCCTAATTCATAATTAATCAAAATTATAGGGATTAAACATGCTATTTTCTTATTTTATTAATTTAGTGACTAAAATAAAACTATATAAAATTCGGATATTAGAATAAAATAAATTAAAACATACTATTCAGATTAAAATATTAATTATTAAAAATATAGGACTAAATCTGTTATTTATCCTAAATATATTATTTTAATACAAAGGACTAAAATAAATAAAATTAAAATTTAGAGATCAAATTAAAAGGTTTATAGATTCGATTTAGTGACTAAAATGTAAAGTTTACAAATTAAAGGGATAGCAGACAGGATTTAACTATTAATAATTACTCAAATAGCCCTCCCCAAAATGACGTCGTTTGGGAAGGGCTATTTAATGCCCAAAACGGCCGGCCCTTCGGGCCATCTCTTTCATTTTCCAGTTTTCATTCTCTCTCTAACTGAGAGAGAATGAACAAAAGCTCTCCCTTCTCTCTAGCTTCCCTCACCGGAGGGAAGCCGGTCACCGGACGTCAACCGTCTGCCGCCGTGACCCTCACCGCCGGCCACTGCATCCGGTGGCCGGAAATTTTTTTTTTACACCATTAGATAGATCGGACCGTCCTAAGGACGGTTCCGGTGCTCTTTTCTCCTAAATGGCTCCTGATCGGAGCGAATCTAAAGAAATACCTTCGGTTTCCGAAGGTTTTGGTGACGTTTGAAGGGGTCCGGTGGCTTCCTTGGTAAGCTCCTTTCTTTTCCTTTCCTTTCTGTTTTGGTTTTTTGCTGGTTGTGGGACGTTGCTCTCTGTTTTCTATCTCTCTCTGTCTCTGTCTTCCCTTTTTTGTTCGCAGATGGGGTGAGGGCTTTATAGCCATCACCGGTGTGGCCATCGGACCGGTCTGAAGGGTGAAACGTTCGGTGAGTCACCAAAGCTATGCTGGTGACTCACCATAGAGGCGACGTGGACGGTCGTGGTTGTGGCAGCAGAGCTTCTGGAGGCTTCTTCGGGGTGGCTTCGTGGCATTGGTGGAGCGTAGGCAGCGGACGTGTGGCCTTCTGGAACCAACGGCGGTGGTTGAGGACTTCTGAGGTGGCTGGAAACCATTGAGGCGACGGCGCATGGGGCTAGGGTTAGAAAACCCTAACTGAAACCCTAAATGTTTAGGGTTTTAGTTTGGTTTGGGCCGGTTGACTGGGCTTGTATTTTTTTTATTATTTATGTATATATATATATATATTTAATAATAATAATAATAATAATATTTATAATAATAATAATTATAATAATAATAATAATTATAGTAATAATAATAATAATAATCATTATAGTAATAATAATAATAAATAAATCAAAATGGGTAAAAAAAATTAGTATCTTCAGCTGCCCCTCTTTGCTCATTCGTGTGTTAACAAGAATAGGGCAAAGACGAAAAGATAATAAATTTTTTTTTATCCATTTGGCTTCACTTGATTATGATGGAGATGTTGAATAAATTCTTTTCTTTCTTCAGATGAGTTCTTCTCATTATGAACTTTCCGCTGGGGATGATGTTGACCTATTTCCTTCTGTGACAGAGTCATTCAAAAGGTTGAATAAGCTCTTCTATTTATGAACTTCCTCTTCTTCAGATGAGTTCTTCTCATTATGAACTTTCTCTGTAAAAGTTGATCCATCGAATGATGGATTTGAGCAAAAGGTTGAACAAATTCTTCTTCAGATGACGAGTTCTTCTCATTATGAACTCTTCCTGGCAATGTTAATCCATCAATTGATGAATTTAAACAAAAGGTTGAACAAATTCTTCTCATTATGAACTTCTTCTTCATTCTTCAGATGAGTTCTTCTCATTATGAACTTTCTCTGGAAAAACTGACCCATCAAGTGATGGATTTGAGCAAAAAGCTGAACAAATTCTTCTCATTATGAACTTCTTCTTCCTTCTTTAAATGAGT